GAGAAGGAGTGCAAGAGAGATGAGCCGAAGTGAGGGAAGGCGACAAAGAACTGAGCACAAAACAGAGTGCAAAACTGCATTGGAAGTTTCAAAGAACAGAATTTTGAAATAAAAATACACGGACAAACGTTAGAAACAGCATGGAAAAGTAAAGGTTCAAAAGACTGCAAGATAAATGATTAACAACTGATCGATCTTGGAATTATATGTATGTTTAAGAAGAAATAGAAAACCAACAGCAATAATTTTAAAAATAAGTAACATCTCAGAGGAAAAATTTTAAGGACACATAAATAGGTAAATTCTGGAAAATTTTTTTAAATTGTAAAAATAAAATTAGAACTCTAATATGAACCAAGGCCAATAAAAACACTTCCTAAGACTAAGTCAAAATTAACTTGCCTAGAACATCTTCTCTGCAGAACAAAAGGTCAGCAAACCACAGGGTAACAGCACAGAGCGTTGGAAGAACAGCGCTGTTAGCTAAGAACGTTGTGCCACCGTACTGGCTGGCTTTGTTGGAGAAGCCAGGGGAAAACACTTCCACACACACAACCTCCTGCTCTCCTTGAGAAAGTCATCTAAAATATTAGCATGGTCATTGAGGAGATAGATAAAATTCAGAACTGAAAACTGGGGAAACTGTAGTCTAAAAGTTTCTTTGAATTCGTTGGGCCTGGTGTGGGCCACTAGAGTGGCGGCCAGGAGAGTCAGGTGGGAAGGACCTTGCACGGCTCCGGGCTTTGCCTGCTTGCTGGCGCTAGGGCACGAGCTCGGGAGCCGCCAGCGACGTCCGCAGTCTGCATGGACCTCCCTGCACAGCCAAGTCCCTTCAAGCAGTGTGTGCCGCAGAACTCCTCCAGAATTCGCGAGGTACTACGGCTCACGGGGAATAGCGTCCTACGTGACTCTTCAACAAGAAGGAAGGTTTCCCCTCACAAAAGCACAGGAGAAAATACTGACTAGATTAAATGCCGGAAACATGAATAGCGACTTTCCATGTATTTGAAATCACACAGATGACTGTTTTTGTTTTTTTATTGGGAAAAGTTAATCTACTTCAAAGCACATGACTGATCTTTTTAATCTGGGCTCCGTTCATGGTACTCCCTAGAGATGCTTTCATTGCTGAGAAATTAGGGTAGATTGAATTGCACAGTAAATGTCTGGCCTCTGGATCCTCTGGATCCATATCTGTACATTCAAGTAACTCAAATAAAAAAAAATATTTGGAAAGAATTTGTCTGTACAGAAAATGTATTTTTTTCCTTGTCATTGTTTCCTAGAAAATACAATATCTACTTGCCATTTGCTTTGTATTAGGTATTACCAAGAGATGGTTCAAAACACACAGGCGAATTTCCCTAATGTGACAATCCTGTGCCATTTTATGTGAAGCACTTCTGACTCAGTGAGTTTTGGTACCCTCAGGGGGTCTTAGAGCCCATCTGGGAAGAGGAGGAGCATAGGCAAAGATGTGGGGAAATGTGCGGCGATGGTGCAAGGAGTGAGCACTTCACCAGGTGCTGGAATTCTCGGGCATTCTTCCCTCAGAGTCTGTGCCACTTTCTAGGTTGTTTCTTCAGTGATTACATAGTAGCCATATGATCTTTAAAGTGTTACAAAATCAAGACATAAAATAATTATTAGTAGATGATATATTGCACTCATTGAAGAATGCAGACAACAGTGGCAGGAGTGTAATTAAATGCTGAGATTCTAGGGGCCAGCGAGATAGCTCAGCAGTCTAAAGCACCTGGTCAGGCAAGCTTAGGCAAGCGCAGGGACCGTGGCTAGCTCCTCAGCGCCACATGCCATGGCAGCCGCACCCCCAGGATGGGCTGAGCAGGCCACATAAATAAATAAATAAAGGTTGAGATTCTGGGTAATATTACTTGTGGTTCCCGAGCACCTATTACTTTTGTGGTTCAAAGAAAAAACGTGTACTTTTATTAAAAGAAAAAAGTAAGAAACAATTTTAAAAACTGTCACTCAATACTTAATTTACTCATTTTAGGAGAAAAAGTAATAAAGAACACCACCCTGGCTTTCTAATAAGTAAAATGTATTAAATATTTTTCCCTTATTTCATATCTTTTATTATCTTCTGCTTATATCTCTATTTATAAAAATATACTAATAATTAAATTTGCAGCTTTAAAAACCCTGAGCACTGATCCCCATTCTGTGTTTTAACTTCCACTCGCCAGACTCTCGCTGAGATGTTGCTAAAAGGCTCACGCTTCCCCCACATGTGGCCAACAGGGACAAGTCAAATACATTAAATAGATTTGATTGCATGTGTGGAAAGACTCTTCTGTTCTGTGGTATGCAAAAGATGCTTGTGCTGAAGGCTTTCTTTTCTTTGGGGTCGGAGGGTAACCAGGAATTGAGCTCAGGACCTTGCACTTGCCAGGCAGGTGCTGCTCTGCTGAGTTACATCCTAGCCTTGTTATCAATTTTCTTCCTGTTCTCTAGTCATTCCATCTGTGGCATTTTAGTCTATGTACCTTCTGATGTTGTACTTGTGCATTTGGGGAGGGCTTCTTAAATTCACAACCATTGGAATAAACAAATTCTCATAGACATTTACCCTACTCCAACCTCAAGCATTTCCATTGCAAATACAAAGCAACAAATGATATTTTAGTTATATTATTGTACTAAAATTGTTGCAGATATCTTCAGCTCCTGCAATGGCTGCTGGGAGGGAAAATTTCAAAAAAGTAAGAAGTATTGACAGTAGCAAAGGAGAAAAATCTCTGAAACTCACACAATATAATGGTTGCTTTCACTTAAGCTGAAATAGTCCTTCTTCTGGCTATCTGTCAATGTTCTCCTGTGAACCCTTTTCTTACTATATAAATTAAATACAGCAAAGTAATAGAGAAGAAACAGTAGCCAAGAAGTACCCCTAAATATGGAAACAAAAGTGACTTTCTTTTAAGTGCTTACTAGTAAATTTGTGTATTCTTGGTGATACTTACTCTGCCTATGGTGGTACGTCCTAGTGTGAAGTAGATTACCAAGCCCCAAACTACATGTTTGAATCTCCCTTCTTTCACAGAGCAGTAGCTAAGAAAATGCTTAGAAGGAAGAGTAAGTTTCATAAAATCTTTCTGTGGTCATTTGGAGAACAAAAAGTGGTGGTAAGTAGCCATGAGTGGTAGGTAAGACAGATCAGTAATCTAGACTGCATATGTTTTTATTGTTGTAAAAATAAAAGCTAAAATAGTGCCTATTGTAGGAGTTTTCTTGCTCCAGGGCCAAAATATTTTATTGTTGGCTTGTTTGCACATAGAAAAAGACTTCAAGACACTTTGGGAATACAACATCATGGGAACGCATCACCACTACCAGGGTCCCCACCCCCCACCCCCCCACCCCCGCCGCTGCCATCACTGTGGGCCGAAGTTCAAACTGCGGTCTGCATCAGTGGACACAGAAACTTGGAACTCGCCTTGACGATGTTGGTTATAGGGCTTCTTCCCAGTGTTCTGTGAGCCATTTTTTAAAAATATAAATATGGGAATGAGTTTTATTTTGACGCCATAAAAAGATGACTCTGCGCTAGCAGTTGTTGCCTGAACCAATAACATCTAGACACTCATGACACAATATTTAAAATTTAAATTTGTTGCAAAATTGGCCAGAAAGAGCATGTAAAAATTAAATTAATATTCATTTGATTTTCTTGGAAAAGATGTCCTTTTTGTGAAAATACTTTAATTTTAATTACTACTCACAGAGGATGACATCCAAAGACATATTTCTCGACACAGTATAGGTCTCAAACAGGAAAGCATTTGTTATCTGCCTCATAATTAACTTTGTGGGTAACTTGTCAAGGAATAAAGTTAAGGAGCAAGGTTGATAAAGGACCAAGAGAGGCCAGACAGATTTTCATGACAGCAAGAAAGGGAAAAATGTGGTTTTTCATATGAAAAGTTATAATGAGGAATAGAAATGAATGCAAATTTACTTTCACTATTTTTGTAAAATTTGTTTCCCATGGGAACAAAAAATTCAACACAAATCTGTTGGTTAGATGTAATCAAAACTATCTTTTCACAGATATTGGTAATGAAAACAATAGTAGAAAGTTAAAGAGTAAACAACATAGAATACTTACTGGTTCTGGCCTTATCAGCTTATTTATCATTTTGGAGCCAAAGAGAAACAGGACCTAAATTTCCACAAATACCTGTTTAATGTTGATGATGTAACGAAAAACAAAACGGTGCCTCTATGCTTTTAGAATGTCCATGTATTTTTCAGGGCCAGGCTACATGACCTTAAATATTGGCTATGGTACAATTTCTTTGGAACGGCAATGAATCCATCTACTGAGATTTTACATAGAAAAAGAGCAGTGTCTTAACCCAGTACCCTTTGGAAGGACAGAGCTTTCTCATGACTCTTCCCTAGAGAAGTAGGTCGGTGGACACTGCTGTGTCATTCAGTGAAAGGTGGAATTCACAGGTCAGAAGAAAAAACATCTCACACCAGGGAAGATTCACTATTTCCACAGAATCTATGGAAATAAAAGGGGTTCTTTCTTCCTTTTGTCTACATACCTGAATGTGTGGTTAATCTCAGCCATCACTGTCCTCCTTTCGTGGTACATTCCCACGAAAAAAGCTTTTCTTTCCCACGCCAGCATTTGCTACCCTCTACACCTGCCATGTTTGCCGAGAAAGCGCCTGCTAATCCCAATTTCTGCATGGCAAACACTTTAAAATAGTTTAAATTGAAACTACTGCAGAAGTTTCCCTTTTGAAGAACACTTTTTTATGTTCAGTATTCTCCACTTACATTTTCTGAGTTAAGTCTTAGATAGAACTAAATGCTGCAAAATTAAATTTGGCAAATTTTCTAAATAGTGTTAAACTCCTTAGTACATTGTTAATATTTCAAGACAGTATTCACAGTTTCAAGTCAAGAAAGAACAAAAGCTCAGTATTGTGGCAATTACCTCATCTGCTTCTTTCTTTTCTCCTGGTCTGGCTGCTGATCCACTCGTTTTTTCATTGACATGCTAAAAAATAGTTAAAGAAAAAAGGACAATGTTTAATAGAAGAAGCGATAGAGATAATAGTGCCTTTCGTATAGAAATGTTAGATACACAGACCTTAAAAACAAGCACCCCTTAATCTTCTTCCTGCGATACTGGTTAATTCTACACAGACTGGAAGGCTTTCAAGAGGGATGACACAGACATTATTTGGGATCTAGGAAGTCACTCTCTAATTAAGCAGATGCAGAGCTGATGGCGATGCCAACCCAGCATCCTGTCTCCTACAAAGTGCCTTGTGCAACTCCACATGGGAGACGTCGGCCTCATCCCAGAGATCTCAAAGGACCATGTCACATCTGAAGGCACAATTATGCCTCAGTTTAGCAGAGACACAAAAGTTGAGCACGAGGTTCCAAGTCACCCATCACTTGCAAGAGCTCTTGGAAATTCCCCAGAGTTCTTCCATCTGAGTAGTGACCACTACAGAGATAAAACCTGGAAGCAAAAGCCTATACATGAGCCTTGTACTTATTGTGCCTTTAGGATATGATTGTCTAGAATCAGAGTAATTTTTTTATGTATTTAGTACAGGGTCCACAGGGTCTCGCTATACAGATTGGACTCATAGTGATCCTCCTGTTTGCAGCAGCCAGGGATCGAACCCCCAGCCCATGCATCTGCCTAAGCAGGAGCTTTAATCTGATGAGCTATCTGGCCTGCCCCAGAGTAATTTTTAACTAAGACATTAGGAATGAGTGTAAATATTTTTACATGGAACATAAAAGCTTACATGCTCATTTTTCTTGGTGATAAGGTAAAATAAACCCGAAAGTTTGCTACAGTTTTTCAGAAATGAATAATATTTGTATGTTCCCTATAATGTATAAGGAATCATTTCATTCCTTGTATTTTTTAAGATGTACAAGACAGTAGGAGAAAGGGCCAAAATGTGAGAAAATAAACGCTCACTACTGGACTCAAATCTGATCATCCTCAGTTAAACCAAAATATAAAATACGATTATGTTCCCTAGAGCAGATTCACAATATAAAAATGTAGAATGAAATTATTCAAACTAAGAATAGTGATAGTAATAGCGAACATCATGTTATTAGCAAAGCATTTTCACATGTTCTTAATCTAAAAAATAGGTCATCTGGCTTTATACATGAAAAAACAAAATAATAATTCAGTGTTCTTCAGAATGACACATATGTAGTAAGTGAAAAAAGGCCACCAAGCAAATGTTCTTGACTTATAATTTGTGGTTTGCCTCTGTCCTGTGCTAAATGGAATTGCATAATAATATTACTTTAATCGCATCAACAGATATACTAGTAAAGAAATAAGAATACAGGGCTAGATTCTTTTTGTTTGTTTGCTTATTAACAAGGTTAGATTCTTTACTTAATAGTTCTCTCTATGTACAATTTATAACAAATCACTCTAATCCATGTAAATGCTCCTCTCCCAAAAGAATCACTCTCATGGATGAGTGAATGGAATCTACAAAAAGTAATCAAGCTGAAATTTCAGTCTATGTCCTAGTTGAGGGTTCGCTTGTCCATAGTTGAGGGCAATCAGTAAGAAATGATTCATGAGCTTTGAAAAATAATTTTTAAAAACCATTTGCAAGCTCACAAACCACATGTGACGGTGTGCATGTAGTTCAGCTATTATATTTGGGAGTAAAGGATCACTTGAGCTCACAAATTTGAGAGAAGCTGTAGAAAACATGTAAGACTAGTCCTCAAAAAAAAAAAAATTTAAAATGCACAGATAAATCTCAACTGGGTAGTAGGTGATCAATATTAGAATAATTATGAGTGAGAGTTTTGTAGAGGCCAGACCTGGGGTGGGGAGCTAAATATTGGTCTGTGTATTAGCCAAAGGTTGTCTTGGTACCTAGGATCTTCATATAAGCACACTGGAACTGAGCCTGAACGCATTTCTTATAACTGACTTAAAACAACAATGTCTCAGCTTATCACAGACACCCAAATAACCAATTGGTTTTATAACTATGGACCACGCATCAGATCACACGCAACAAAGCGAAGGCTTGGCTGTATCCAGTCCTGTAATTTCTTCACTTCTGCCACCACCAGTCTGTAAAAGCTTGTTGCTTATCTGCTGAGACAGAGCTCTCTCCGACTCTTCCAGGTGTGAGCGCTGCTCTGATCCTGAGTTGTGTCATTTGCTCAAATAAACTGTATTTCGTTTTACTGACATTGTCTTTTATCTCTAGAACAAACATTCAGTATTTAGAGAGAGTATCGAATATGGGTTGATCTACAAAGACAAGAGATCTACCAAATCCGTCTCCTTTCTGCACTGATAAATGTAGAATCATGATATCTCATTCATTTAAATTCCATACATTTTTTAGATTAGATAAAATAAATAACAAAAACAATATCCGCTATTTTACTAATACTTACTGTTTGGAGGGGCTCCCTTACTTACTGTCTATTTTATTTATTTATTTATTTATTTATTTATTTATTTATTTATTTATTTTGCAGAACTGGGGATTAAACTCAGGCCCTTGCGCTTGCCAGGGAAGCGCTTATTCCACTAAGCCATCTCCCCGGCCCCTCCCTTACTTGCTGTCAAGTGTCACTATCTGACCTGAAGGGCAGCTTGCTTGGGTTCCGTGTAAGATCCCAGTCCCTGCAGTTCTGAGTCCTGCTCACATGGTACATGTGCACCACGATTCACTGCCCCACAACCAATGTGCATATGCAGCATTTATCCCTTAAAATATGGGTCTGTAGATGATTTCTAAATGGTTTCCTTATGGTGCTTGAAAGAGACTCCATTGTCATCAATCCAGATTAATCAAAATCAGTAGTTCTTGCTTTCACTGAAATGCTCAAAATCTCCAAATTCTGTAAATTCTAAATAGTTTGAGAGGACTATTTTAAAACTATAATGAATGTTTTAAAAAATTTTCAGTTATGACAATTTAAAAATATAGGCAGTATTACTTTGTCATTTCAAAGGAATTATTTATTCTTGATAAATAGAAATTTTTTATAGTACATAAAAGTGTAATGAAATAAGTAAAAATCACTTATACTTAAATGCTAGGAGTGGCATTTGAGCTCACACCCGGCTGACAGTTTCCCCTCAAGGTAGGCTTTGGCTCTGGCTTTCCACCCTTCTTATTGTTAGGCAGCCAGCTATAAAGCATGACAAAATCAAGGGTCTACCCCACTAAAGGGGAAAGACAGGAGAACAGCTCTTGCAAACCCTAAGTCCAGGTATAAAAATAGTGTTACATATTACTATGCTTTGGAAAATTTTTTGCAAAGGTACGTGGTTTATTTTAGAGAAAGACAAAACATTATAAACTACAGTTGTGGTGACGGCCCCTCCCTGTGAAGATGCTAAAAGAAAAATACTGTCTGTAATTATGGCTATGGGTTCTAAACTATTCTTGAATAAAATTTGAAAAATCATAAAGGTTATTTGGAACTATTGTCCTTTGTCTGAAGAGAAGGCCACTGAGATCAGTATTTGCACACCAAGGGACAGCTCAGCGCCTCTGGATCTGCACGGAGCTCAGCTGTGCGGGTCACTTGTCCTAAGCAAGGCAAGTGTAGGGGCCTCCCGAGGACAGGAAAGCTTCTCCTAAGCTCAGCAGTGGGGTCCGTCCTTCAGCGCATCTCAGAGCACCTGGGGGGCTTTACAACGCACTCATGCCAGAGAGCCTGGGCTCACACTTAGTTTGGATAGCATGGCGCCTGATGGTGGATATACTGTTCTGATATTCACCAGTTGCTTCAAATGTGTGGCCAGGACTGGGACCCTTGACTTTGAAAGGCGATTTGCAGCCACCACAAAGCGTAGCTCTGCTCCTCGGACCACGGCACTGAGGCGATGCCTCACACAGCTCTGGCCTCCTCCTGAGCAAACTGATTGTCCAGTAAAGTGACGCAGTGCCTGGGTCACCGTAGAACCTCCTGTCTGGGTCTGAGGCTCGCCTTGTATGTGGAGCACCAGGGCCCCGTATTATACAGCTTTCTATTTTCTTAGCAAAGGAAGCCAGCTAGCACTTTACTGTCCACTGACTTTCCTACTAATTACTTTTATTTCTATAGCATCTTCCCAACAAGTTGGTAAGTTGTATTTTTTTTTTTTTTTGTAGACACATAGTGGCAATGTAACAACTTTGATTGAATACAGCATTTCTGCAAACTTTTAAACATTCCCTAAAAAGTACTTTTGCTCTTTTCAGATGAGTAAAATAGATGCAGAAGAGAAAGCCTGAGAAACACATGAAAAATTAAGAGAAAATGTGCAAATGGGTATCTCCTGCAAAATTTTGGGAAAAAATACATTTATATGTATTTTCACAAGATTGTTCAGCAAAGCAGCAAGAAGGCCAAGATGTGCAGCTGGCTGTGTGTCAGAACTCTCTCCCTGGGGCTGATCTTGGGCTGTGGGCTCCTTGGCTTTGTTGGTGTCACAGGGCATCTCTGGTGGCTCTGTTTCTCTTCAGGGGTGGCTTCAAGCTCAATTGGCCAAAAGGCACTAGTGTGTAGTGGGTTGGAGAAACCGGGAGGTGGTAAAGTTTCCCCCACTTCTCTCTGGTCTATCGGTCTCAGCTGTGTACACTGCTGCAGACCAAGCTAGTCATCCTTCGACTTCTTCAGGGCCATCCTGCTCTCTCCGTTCCTGCAGGCTTAGATTGTTAATGCAGCCGATAATTTCTCTTCTCTGGGTTGTATTACCTTCCCTGGTAGCTTCTCTGCCTTACCCTGTTACCTGAATAACCAATTTCTTATATTACATTCCTTTTGTGTTAAATGCTCAAAGATTTGCCTGTCTCTTAGTTGACCGTGATGAACCCTGACAGGACAGAAAGAGAAGAGGTTTAGAAGGGCAAGTAATTCAATCCATCAGTTTCTGCTCAAAACGGAGCGCGTGGTACCTGTCCCTGGGGCTGACGTATGTATGAAAAGAGCTAGTGCTGAAGAGAAGTCTGGGTCAGTGTGTAGCTCATCTGAGGATAC